CATGGAATGTTAAAGGACTAAATAATAAATAAAAAAGAAATGAAATCTTTCATTTGATAAGCTGCACAAAATACGATGTGGTGATTCTTCAAGAAACACACATCCATTTCAAAGACAAAATTAAGAAACCCCAAATTGGGGAAGGAATACATTTCAGCAGCTAAGCATAAAAGAAAGGGTATAGAAATATATATGTATCCAAAAATATATAGGCGAAAGAGTTATTTAATGACAACAAAGGACAATTTATAGAAATTGAATTAATCGTTCAGGGGAAAAAATTGTCTTAGTTGTGATTTATGCACTGCAGGAAAATAAAAAAAAAATCTATAAGCAAATTAATGAAAAGATAATAGAATATGATGAAAATGAGATTATTCTTGGAGATGATTTCAAAGCTATTATAAATCCACAGATTGACAAACTCTCCAGTAAAAAACTTGAAGAAAACAATGTAAATTACCTAAAACTTTCTTTTCAATGATACATAATAAAAACTTAGTAGAAATAGGGAGATACAAGAATGGTGACAGAAGAGAATCCCCCCCCCCCATCTGGATATGTTATTTACATCAAAATTAATATGTAATAAAATTTTAAAAAATGAAATTTTGGCTAGAACATATTCAGACCATGACCCAGAAAAAATGACAATTAAATTAATAGAAACTGAATTCCACTGGCAGCTGCAAGACTATTTTATTGAAGGACAAAAAATTGTGGAAGAAGCTAAACAAACTCTTAAACATTATTTTAAAGAAAACTTAAATAAAGGCACTGACATCAATACAGTGTGGGATGCAAGCAAAGATAATTATTTTATCTTTATCCCAAAACACTGAAAACTACAAAGAAGGAAAAAAGAAAGAATTTAATCAATCACAAAAAAAAAATAGCTAATAAAGAAAAGGAATTAATTGAATTAATGGAAAATAAGAATAAAAATAAAATAATTAAGGAAATTAAAATTCTACAAAAACAATACTCCATGGAAAATATAGAAAATTTAGCAAGATTCATGAAGAGTGTTAAAGTTAGATATTTTCAGAATGAAAATAAAATTGATAGATGGCTGTCCTGGAAATTTAGAAAAGAGATAAACAATAGATTAATCACTAAAATCAGAATCAGGAATAAAGTCTATACAGAACAAAATAAGATTAAAGAAACCTTTCAAAATAATTTCAGAGAACTTTTCAAATTAGATAAAGAAAACAAGGAAAATATAGAAAACTACCTTAAAAAGAGCTCTATTCCAAAATTAAAAGAAGCTCAAATAAAGGAGCTGGACAAACCAATAATGTTATCTGAATTAGAAGAGGTGATAATGGGTCACCCTGAGAAGCTGCGGATTGGGACTGAAGCTGCCCCACACCTCAGCCCCAATCCACTCCTTTTCTGGCCCTGGAAGGAGCACTAAAATAGTGCTCCTTCCGCAAGGTGTGGAAAGGGCATCAGAAGACGTGACACATGCCTCTTCGGCATCTCTTCTGGCTCAGCGTGTCTAGATGTTGAGCTGGAAGAATGTCATCGGAGCGTCTGCCGTGTGGAATGGCGAGCGTCTCCAATGACGTCCTTGGGAAGGGGTTGGGGTGCCCAGCATGAGGCTGCCCCTCCCCTTCCTGGGATTGAAGACAGTGCTTTTCACCTTCTGCATCCTCCCTAAGAAAGATAAAATGCCGGGTCCAGACAAATACAATGCTGCCTATTATAAAACTTTTATGATGGAATTAAAGTTACCACTTTTGGAAATAATAAATAACATCAGTAAAGGAAAAATTTCTCAGACCTGGAGAGAAGCAAATGTAACTTTAATCCTGAAAGAAAGGAAAGATGACCAAAATCCCAACAGTTACAGACCAACTTCCCTTCTAAACTCTAATTATAAACTGTTTACAAATATATTAGCAGAAAGACTTAAAAAGCTATTAGTAAATTACATATCAGAGGATCAATGTGGTTTTCTCCTCGGGAGGCATCTAAAAGATAACATTAGATATATAGTTAACTTAATAGAATATCTTGATTTTCGCATGGAGAAGAAATTAGCAATTATATTATTAGATATGGAGAAAGCTTTTGATAGCCTCCACTGGAATTTTATGACTGGAGTATTAAAGAAGACGCAATTTGGTCCAAGATTTCTAGATTGGATTATGGCAATATATGAAGACCAGATAGCCAGAATAAAGATCAATGGTCAAAAAACATACCCAATCCGGGTAAATAAAGGTACAAAACAGTGATGCCCACTTTCATCCCTGCTTTTTATCATGTCCTTAGAAATCTTTTTGAATAATATTAAGCAAGGCACAAATATAAGAGGAATGAAAATCTGAGGAGAAAGTTTTGTAACAAGGGCATTTGCAGATGACATTGTGGTGACAGTAAAAGATCCATTAGAAAGCATTAAACAATTAATGAAGGACTTAGAGGACTTAGAACAGGTCTCTGGTTTAAAAATAAACAAAGGGAAAACAAACGTGATAACAAAAAAACACGACAAAGACTGATGAAGAAGAATTGAATAAGATATCAGGTTTCAACATAAACAATAAAGCAAAATACTTGGGTATAGTAATCACAAATAAGAACTCTGATCTATTTAAAAATAATTATAACAAAACCTGAAGTGAAGTTAAAAAAGACTTAACAAATTGGAAAGATATAAAATTAAATATGCTGAGAAAGATAGCTGAAGTAAAAATGAGCGTACTTCCCAAATTTCTTTTTCTTTTTCAGACTATACCCATAATAAAAAATGATAAAATTATTAAGGATTGGCAAAAACAACTGTTTGAATTTATCTGGGCAGGCAGAAGGCCCAGGATTAAAATGACCTACATGCAAGACAAAATGGGGGATGGGGGGAGGGGGGCTTGGTAGTACCTAACTGAAACTGTATTTTGAAGCTAGTACTTGTTTATGGTTGAAAGACTGGTTGAAATTAGAAAATAGAAAATTACTTAATTTAGAGAGTTCGGAACTTAAATTGGGATTTCATACTTTCTTATTTTATGACAAAATTCAAGCAAATAAAATCTTCGAAAATCACTATTTAAGGTCAGCAATATTCAAAACTTGGAAAAAATATAAAAAATATGCCCAAAACATCCGTTGTGGGCATCCCCTCAGGAAGCTTTATTCCAGTTTGATCCTTTCAGAAGAAAGAATTGGTTGAAATACAAGTTATATTAGAAAAAAAAAAGGAAATTTAAAAATTAAATCATTAGGACAGTTAAGAGCTGAAGGAAAAGAAAGTGGATGGTTTTTATACCATCAATTAAGAGCTAGATAAAATACTGATCGGAAAACATTAGGAATAACTGATAAAAAAACTGATCTAGAAGAGAGTATCTAGATCTAGAATGATAAGCCCACTCCATTATCCAGAATTCATATGAGACTTTTAGAAATTTATATGGAGGAAGGGCTGGTGAAACAGAACATGATAGTCTGGGTGAGAAACTGTGGTCATGAGCTACCGCTCAGTCAGTGGGAAAACTGCTGGAAAATTAGAATGAAATATACATTAAGTCAAGATATTAGAGAAAATTACTATAAAATATATAGATGGCACTTATCACCAGACAGAATAGCTAAGATATATAATACCGGAAAAGACAAATGTTGGAAATGTGAGAAGGCAATGGGAACTTTTTTTCCATTTGTGGTAGTAATGTGTTGAAGCTAAAAATGTCTGGAAATATATTCATAAAAACATTACCAAAAGATTAGAAATAGAATTGAAAAGAAAACCAGAGACAATTTTACAGAGACAATGTATGTTAGATGAAACCAGAGACAATTTTACAGAGACAATGTATGTTAGATGAAAAGAAGGAAAAAATATGGAAGAATTATATTTTGTATGCTTAAGGCAGCCAGGTTAATTTACGTGAAATATTGGAAAATTAAGAAAGAAATACAAACAGATGAATGGCTGATGAAATTCAGGAACTTAATGGAAATGAATTTATTATCAAATAAGAAAAGGCAGAAGATAGAATAGTAGAGTGGAAAAAAGTATATGACTAAAGAAATGGGATAACATATTATGCATAAAAAATGGAAAATTGACTATTAGCAGAAGACTATGAACCATATGTAAACAAGAGTAGGAGTGAGAAATAGTATTAGATAAATCTAAGGTGATGCAAATAAGAAGGAAGGGGTAAACAAAATAAAATAGTATCTTATTGTTAGGAAATCTGATAGTACAAGGATAAAAGATAGAAAAGGAAATCAGCATGAGGAAGTAATGAGCATCAATGAGCATGAATGGTTTGTTTTGTTCTGTCTATATTCTGTCTGTAGTATAATTTGTATTGTTTGTAATTTGTTAACATTGGTGTTATTTGTATGTTATGCATATTTGGATACGTATGCATGATATATTATTGTATTTTTTGTAAATAAAATAAAATATAGTGTTTTTCAAAACTGTGGTTGTTTTACTTTCATTGGGGTCTCGTGCCCTTAACCCAGTGAATGTGGAGGGCTGACTGTATAAGTTAAATCTGACACAGTGAATACAGTGGCTCAAGGCTAAGTCTCAGAGGACTACAAATGTTAATAGGGAAATGATTTATATGATTTTTGTGACAGTTACTCATCCTCTATCTTAAGGAGGGATAAGTAAAAATCAGTGGTCCCCAACCTTTGGTCCTCCAGGTGTTTTGATCTTCAGATAGCTTGGCCAACAGTCAGGAATTCTTGGAAGTAAAGTTCAAAACATCTGGAAGACCAAAGGATGGGAACCACTGGGTTAAGTGAAGCAACCAAGTGATCACAAATACATCTGTTTTCCCTTCCCTTCCATGTCATGCCCCTCTTTGTATGATTTTGTTTCTCTTATTTCTCCCATAACCACAAAGGCAATCAGGCAACAATCATGTATTTATTGAATGTATACCTTGCTTTGTCCAAAAGAAAGGCATTGAAGCCCTGAACCTCAGGATTTATCATGCCAGGCTTGAAAAGTAGAATTACAGCAGGATAGCAGCATGGCATAGTGGTCTGAGTCTTGGACTATAATCCAATCTGGAGATCAGGGTTCAATTCCCTGCTTGGCCATGGAAACCCACTGGGTAACTTTGAGCCCCAGAAAACTTTGTGATAGGTTCGCCATAGGGTTGCCAAGTTGGAAATGACTTGAAGGCACACAAGAACAACAACAGTAGTGTCTGTGGCCATATCTTATCAACTGACACTGTGTCTCTCCAGTAGATGGTTTGTAGTCCATCTGTTGCTGGAGTGCTCCTTTTTATTGATGGGCAAAACTCATCAATACTGCCCTCATCAAGCTACTTTTTCACTATTGAGAGAATGTTATATATTCATCCTGAGCACTTCCAATATGCAAGCAGTCACATGGTGTGAGTGGGTGTGATTCTGCCCCTCTCCTCTCTCCCACTCACTGCTTCCAAGCAAAATGATTTTCTTTTCTGTCTTTCCAATTTATTTTCTTTTATCTAACGGACTGCTTTGAATGTGCAATTAAGCTAAAAATGATCATCATCATCATCAACAACAACACTATGGACACTGCCTTGAGGAAGGTAATAGCCAGGACAGAAATAACACCCAACCTGGTATGTTTGAATTTGCTAGATTAATGGGACTGGGGTCTTTTATGAGCCTAGTCTGATATAGTCCTCAGTCTACATCAGGGGTAGGCAACCTTTCCCCTTTAAGGGCCGAGGGACTTCATCTCCTAGAATCCCAGGAGCTATTGGCCAACATGGGACTATTGGCCAACATGGCTGAGCCTTCTGGGAGCTGAAGTCCCTCGGCCCTTAAAGGGGAAAGGTTGCCTACCCCTGGTCTACATGAAAAAGGTGAAAGTGCAATCATACTGTAGTACAAATTTTATTTAATGAATTTCAAAGAAAGATCAGGAGAGACTGCTGCTTCAGCACTAGGCAGTAGAAGTGCGGAAGATTTAACCCAGAAAAGGAGAACCCCCAAACTCTGAAGGTGGAATAGTAGAATTTTAATAAGACTACAATACTATCACCCTATTTATTCAACACTTTATATGCAAAAAGTATCATATGTAGAGCAGGCTTAGATGCAGAAGTGAAGATTAGAGAAAGGACCATTAACAATTTAGGATATGCAGATGACATAATACTGCTAGCAGAAACCAACAGAGACCCGGAGCAATGACTGAAGAAAGTCAAGGAGGAAAGTGCCAAGATAGGCTTAATGCTGGACGTTAACAAAACAAAAACAATGACCATGGAAGACCTACAGGAATTCATCCTAAATAATGAGAAAATTGAAATAAGAATTCCCATACCTTGCATGAAATATTGATCAGAACAGAGATTGCAGTCAAGAAATCAGAAGACTAAGGAGTTTATCACAGAGGGACCATATGTACTTCCAGCCCAATAATGATTAAAGCAGCCGCAACCCACAAAAGTGTCTAATGTACACAATAACACATTAGAAGCTCATTATTAAAGTGAGAAAGAGGGTAAAATGCAAATTTGGTTTTCACAGGGATGTGTGTAAATTCTGATAATGGTTTGGGAATCACTTTTTTTGTGCGTGAGCACAGAAGTAGTAGTTATGTCACAAGAAATCACCCAGAGAAATAAAAAAAAATATTTACACGATTTTCTTTATAAAAATATACTGTTGAAGTTGACTTGAGGATACTTAACAACAACAAACAATCCTAAAACCAGTCATCTGGGAGAAAGTTCTGTTGTACTTGATAAAATGTCCCCCTGAGGCTGGGATGGATAGTAATGTGCAGTAAATGTATTAAATCATAAAAAAACCCAAAACAACAACAACAACAACACACACACACAGAGAAACAATTTCCTTAAAATATTGGAACCCAAATCACATAACCATACTTATAACAGGTTTAATTAGAAACAGCTATCTTACATCAGCTATCAGAAAACATTATCTTGTCACATGAACACAATGCATGTCAGTGCAGGAGAAAAATTATCACTACATAACTACCATCACAAATGATTGTGTGGAAAGCTGCAGGCCACAATTCTTCCTTTTGCTTCTTGATACACCCATGTATTTTCACCCATGTATTGAAGCTCTGGTCACAGATCCGTACCGATTGCTGTACTATAAATCTTGCATTATTAAACAACTTAGATAGTTCAAATGAAAGAGTGATTACATTTCTGTAATCACTGTAGTTTAATTGGTGGAGGGAGTACTCTTCCAGTGAAACGAATAAAATTAGGCCATACCACTGTTGAACAGAAAACATTTTATGTGCAAACTTGGATTACATTATCATACCAAAAACAGAGTAGGATATGACATTTAATTTTGGCAGTAGTAGAAAAAAATTAAGGTTGCAATATAGCACAGCGTTATTATTATTATTATTATTATTATTATTATTATTATTATTATTATTATTATAGTTTATTTATATAGCGCTGTAGATTTACATAGCACTGTACATACAGTTAATAAAATAGATAAAAATAGATAAAAAAAGCCTGCTGATGGTGTACATTCTACAAAATAATAAAATACATATTAATGCAAAGAAAGCAACAAATTAAAAACATCAAATAATCATCATACAATGCCTGCAAATGGTTCCCTGAACAGTATAGTCTTTAACTCAGCTTTGAAGCTGGTTAAAGAAGTGATGCCCCATGCCTGTGGGGAAAGGAGGTTCCAGGAATGAGGGGCAGCAAGTGAAAAGGGACAAATCGGGATGGAACAGTAAAAATCCTAGGCTGAGACAGCAGACCTTGACTACCAGAGCAGAGGGCACAGGTGGGACAGTAAGGGGAAAGAAGCTCTGATAAATAAGGAGGGGCCAACCCATGCAGGGCTTTAAAAGTCAACAACACAAGCTTATACTGAATATGGAAAGGGAGTCAGTGAAGGGATGATAATACAGGGGAAATATGGTTGAAACGGTGAGCAGATGTGATAATATGTGCAGCAAAATGCTGGACCGAAATTAAAGGATGGAGGTGAGAAAGAGAGAGCCCTGCCAGGAGAAGGTTACAATAATCTAGTCGTGAGACCACTAGGGCATGGATCAAAATCTTGGCAGTAGAGACTGAGAGAAATGGTCAGATTTTAGCAATATTGTACAAAAAAGAATCTACATGCCTTGGCTGTGGCCTGAATCTGGGGGATACACGACAGAGAGGAATAAAAAATAAAACCAAGACTGCTGGCTTCCTGGACAGGTCGAATAGAAATATTGTCAACAGAAACAGAAAAAGAGTATTGAACAGTAGGCTTTGGTGGAAAAACAAGAAGCTTCAAGAAACTCAAGACAGCGAGAATAAACGACCCATTCCAAAATCTTGGAAAGAAAAGAAAGAAGAGAAATTGGATGATAGCTAGACAGAGAAGAGGGGTCAAGAGAAGATTTTTTTCAGAATTGGGGAAACTAGAGCATGTTTAAAGACCAAAGGGAAAGAGCCAGTAGAGAGAGATTAAAGATATGGAGAAGTGAGGACAGAAAAGAAGGGGCTATAGAGATTAGAAAATGAAAAGGGATTGGGTCAAGAGAACAAGTTGCAGGTTGGGAAGAGTTCAGCAGCGTGGAGAGTTCATTCAGAGAAACAGGAGAAAACACAGAATTTTTTTTAGCTGAAAGTGACAGGAAATCAGTAGTAGATGAATGATCGGGAAGGGCTATCTCTGAGCAAATGGTAGTAATCTTTGAGATTAAATAGTTAGCAAAATCATTAGGTGAGAATAATGAAGAGGCAGGAAGAGTAGGAGGTTTTAGCAAAGTATTGAAGGTGGGAAACAAATGCTTCGGGCACCTCTCATTGGTGCAAATCAAAGATTTATAATATTTCTGTTTTTCTATGGACAAGGCGTGTGAAAAGGAAGAAAGTACAAATTTATAATGAATAAAATCAGCCCACTCCCTCGACTTTTTCCAAAGACATTTGGCTGCTTGAGAGCAGAACCGGAGAAACCTAACTGTAGGAGTAAGCCAGGGCTGAGGCCTGGTCATTGTGGAAGACGTGCGTACAGATATAGGGGCAAAGCTGTGAAGAGTTGAAGAAAAAGTGGAGTTAAATAAAGACATTGCTGAATCATCAGAGTCCCCAAAATTTAAAGAGGAAAGAGATGAATCCGAGGTCTGATTGAAATGGTCACGATTAACAGACTGAAGATCACGACAATAACGTTGAACAGTATGACAAGGAGGTGGAATATAAGCAAAAGAAATTAAATATTGATCAGATAATGGAAAATCATCTATCAAGTAGTCAGAAGTGACACATTTAACAGCAAAAACTAGGTCAAGACAATGACCAAGTGAATGAATGGAAGAGTTGGAATAGGGTTGAAGACCAAAAGAGGCTAAGAGGGAACTAAAGTAAGATGTTGTCAGATTATTGAAATAAATTGCCAATGGAGAGGTTTGAAATGTGTAATGGTCCCAGTTTGGATTGGAACTACGTATACCTATTTGAGTGCTAATAAAGGAAATGGTACAAGTGTACATTATAGTGTACAAGACACCCCCTCCCGCTTTTTAAATTAAGAAGGATTTGAACCATTACCCACCAACCAGGGACCTAAGGATGCACCCAGAGAGTTTCAAATTACAATCTAAGATCTGGGTAAATTGAGGAAGGTGTGTTCCCTGGACTTCATGTGTTCCTAAGAACTTTTTTGCTATGCCTTATTGCTCCCTTTCTCCTATTTTTTATTCTTTTAAAAAGAGCACTGTGTGACTTACTGTGTGGCATGTTTCTGGTTTCAGGGCAGAGCAATGTACCAGTGGGTCCTCCTGGCATGGCAGCCCTCTGGCTACTTCTTCCCAGAGGCCAGCGTGGCTTTGTATGGCTTCTGGGAAAGAAGTTTTTCAGAGTGACCAGCCAATGAGTTTAAATTGCAGTTTGAGCTCATCAGCTGGTGGGCCTGGCTGGAGTGACCTCGATCTGATCAGGCAAGGGGGGGGATATATAAGTCCTCTTCCAGTATATTCAGGCATTCATGCTGAGAGCACCATTTCACCAACCTACCCTGTATCAGGATTCTATGTTTTGTAATTCTTGAGTACCATAGCTATAGCTTCATTGTCCTTT